GGTGGCAGCATGCGGGAGGCGCGGTTCAGGGACCACTTCTGGGTGAGCGGGGACACGGGGGAAGCGGGGTAGGACCCTGCCGGAGCCGGGGAGGATCACAGCTGGCTCTGTGGAGAGGTGTCACCCCCGACCTGAGTTGGCTTCCAAGCCAACTTCGTGGTCCTGGGGTGTCTTTGCTGAGGGGTCTGAGCATCCCCTGGTCTGCCTGTGCGTGTCCTGAGAGCGGGAGCTTTGCCACCTGCCCCGTGCAGCCAAAATATGCCCCGGCGAGCTGCCGTGCTGGAGGGAATTGGCGTTGGGCTGAGGGTTTGATAATATTAATTGGTCACCAGTGAACTTAGTTGGAGCCGCCGTGACCCAAAAGGCCCTTTGATAATGAGCTAATCCCAGAGTAGGAGCATGTCCCTTGGTGTGCTGCTGCTCAGCAGTGGAGGAAACGCCACGGTTCGGGGGAAAGCCAGAATTTATTCTTTTGAGTCTGAGCTGTGCTTTCAGGAATGGAGAAGTGCTGAAGAGCCCCTTATCTGCTGCAGAGCATCAGCGCTGTGGCTTCTCAGTTCCTCTTGGTGTGCCGGGCTTTTGTTCCAGATACCGGCAAGCAGGAAATAAATGACAAGATTTTGTCTTTTGGGGCTAAAAATCAGCGTCTGTGAATGGCGGTCAGGATTTCCCAGCTGATGCCTGGGAAGGAGCTCCTGTCTTGTAGGACGGGGGGAAGGTGCGTGGGACCCTGGGGGAGAGTGGGAGTGGGCGCCGAGTTGGGGCTGCTGCATGTTGTGGGATGAGAGGGGGTAAGTGCAGAGCATCGGGACCGTTAGTGCGTTTTCTGGCGTCGCGCCGTCAAATATATACATCCCACACAGGTATTAAACCTGGCTGGGAAAATGCATTCTGCTCTGCATCTGGCAGCCATTTCTCAGCTGTTTGCTGCCAAGAAATTTTCACGGTGTTCCCTCTGCTTTGCAAACGTGCAGGAGGGGAGGGGTGCGATGGTGGTGGCAGCATCCCCCAGGCGGGGGGCAATAACGGCGAGCTGAGTAGACATGGTTCATCATACTTGGGTTGGCACATTGGATTGAAGAAGAGGACCTCGCCGCGGGGCCAGCTTCGGCTCATGCTGCCTGGTTTGTTTCTCTCCTGCTGCCACGTGGTGCTTTTTGAAGGAGGATCCTGGAGGAGGGGGCTTGGTGGGAGAAGATACCGGGGCAGGAACAGCCCCAAGCCCCCAACATGAGGAGGAATGGAGGCATTGCATGGGGCGGTCACTCCTGCCCAACCCCCTGTATTGCGAACACAGCTAATTACTGAATAATCCCCCATTCTTGCTGAGTCCAAAACTATTCGTGGTGCTGAGGGACATGGTTTAGCAGGGGTTTTGGCAGTGTTAGGTTGATGGTTGGACTCAAGGGTCTTTAAGGTCCCTTCCAAACTAGATGATTCTGTGATTCTACGATTCTATGATTCTATTGTTGGTGCCAAGGATTTTGCTTGGCTTTTTCCTTTCTGAAGCCTGTGTGCTTCAATCCAGTGCAGTCAGGGGGGACTGAGGAAATGTTCCTGGCACAGGCGGCCGGGTGGAGGTTGGATGTGAGCATGACGGACATGACTCAGTGGAGAGATCGAGGCCTTGCTGTGGTTGTCTGGCCCATGGAAAAGGCAGGTACCACCCCAAGCAGTCTCCACACCACGTACCGGTGACTGTGCATCCGTTGTGAGGGCTGGGGAGGGAGGGGGGCAATGAGAGATAGGCCAAAAAACCCCAAATTTAGACAAGGTGCAGAGGGCTGCACGTCCGGCTTTGGTTTGTTGTTAGGTTCTGTAAGAGAGCACGAACTTCCTCCTGCAATTTTTCCTCTTAAATAACTTCGCTTATGCCAAAAAGGAAAGGAGAACTCTTCTTTGCCAAAGCAAGTGATTTCGCAGTGGTCAGGACAGCCCGATGGGAAAGGGGAGATTTTGGGAGGGCTCCAGGGGAGGGATGCTCCAATTGATGGGACAAAGTCTAAAAAATAACCAAACACCCAAAAAGCTCAGCCGTTTTTGGTGTTGCATCTTCCAGCTTCAAAACATGGCTGGTCATGAATGGTGACTGCCAAATCTCTTTGTGGGGATAAGCTGCTGTCCCTCAAGCCGCATGAGGGCAACGATTTAGCTTTAAACCCTGGCAGCTCTGGTTCCTTTGGTGGGGTGCTGTGTCTGTCTTTCCCTGAACTGGAATCTGGTCCCTGCCAAAGTTCATGGTGCAATGCTCATGATGTCGGAAAAGCAGACTGTGACTTTGCTCTCTGCATTCGAGTTTGCTCATGCTCTTAGGTCTCAGCACAAGATGATAATGGATTGAGATGAATGGATGGAGAGCAGCCCTGAGGAGAAGGACTTGGGGGTGTTGGTGGATGAGAAGCTCACCATGAGCCGGCAATGTGCACTGGCAGCCCAGAAAGCCCCCCGCACCCTGGGCTGCATCCCCAGCAGCGTGGCCAGCAGGGCGAGGGGGGATTCTGCCCCTC